TTATTCTTGACTTTGATCCACTTTGGTCTGACAGATGATGAATCAGGTGAACTCTTCTGTTACCGTTTAAAGTGTTTAGTTACAGATTAAAGTGTTTGATCAGCGGCCACGTGTGTCCATCAGTCAGTGATTGATTGATTGTATTTGCAGAAGGCGGCTCATTTAGAGCAGCTCACACATCTGTAGAAGACAAACACCAGTGAGGAGGACGCTGAACATCAGGAAAACACATTAAACCCTGTTAGTACTGATAAAGTATAGAAGAGGAACACTACGCCGTTTACACTTTAGATCTATGAGACAACCAGGTGTGAACCACGTGTTTGAATAGATAACGTTCAATAATTTCATTTTATCGTCAGTGTCGTGTTCAATTAAATGACCTTTGAGTCACAACATAAATACATTAATTTACATAATTAACACAATTAACTTCATTTTAATGAGCCTTAACTTTCTAGGCTTGTTTAGTTATTTTGTGTTTATTTTTTCTTTTTTGTTGTTTTTGTTGTTTTATTACAACTGTGATTGTTTTATGTCTGTAGGTTTTGGTTTTTTTTTGTCTTTTTGTAGTAGTTTTGTGTCCATTTTTGTCTTTTTTGTCTCTTTGTAGTTGTTTTGTGTCTCTTTGTGGTTGTTTTGTGTCTCTTTGTAGTAGCTTTGTGTCTGTTTGTGGTTGGTTTGTGACCGTTTTGGTTGTTTTGTAACTTTTTGTAGTAGCTTTGTATCTCTTTTCGGGTGTTTTGTGACTTTTTGTGGTTGTTTTGTGTCTCTTTTTGTTTTTTTTGTGACATTTTGTGGCTGTTTTGTGTCTCTTTGTGGTTGTCTTTTGTCTCCTTTTGATTGTTTTGCGTCCATCTGTGGTTGTTTTGTGTGTATTTATACTGTTTAAAGTCTCTTTCTGATCATTTTCGTATGTTCGTTGTCATTTTGTGTTTGACGAGTTGGTTTTCTTTTTGTCTCTTTGTGGTTGTTTTGTGTGTCTTTGTGATCATTCTGTGTCTGTTTGTGGTCGTTTTGCATTCACTTGTAGTTGTTTGCATCTCTTTGTAGTCATTTTGTGTCTCTTTGAAGTAGTTGTGTGACTGTTTGTGGTTGTTTTGCATCTCTTTTAAGGTTGTTTTGTGTCTCTTTGTGGTTCTTATGTGTCTATTTGTAGCTGCTTTGTGTGTATTTGTGGTTGTTCTACGTCTCTGTCATGTTTTCTGTCTCTTTGGTTGTTTTAATATATTTGTGGTTTGGTTGCTTTGTGTAGCTCTGGTTTCAGTAACGTGGTTTGTAATAAATGTTGATATTTTTTGTCATTTCCTATTTTAATTGTTCCTCTGAGCAAACTAGGCGACGTGTCATCGGTTCATTTTATGCAGAAGAAGAGTCACGTGACGTTAAACCGGCTGAACAAATGACACGATTAAATCCCTGAGCTCTGATTGAAATTTCATGTTTTGTTAAAAACCAACGAAACCAGGAAATGTTGAAGCTGAGTGTCCCTGATCGACATGTTTCAAACAGAAGTCGCGGCACAGTTTGTGCTCAGCTATTTCTGGATTCTTCTGCGTCATGTAGCAGCAGCAGGATGATGCTGTGAGCTGGTCTGACTGGTGTCACTGGGGACAGTTACACATTTGTGACATAGTTGTGTGTCTCCCTCAGGGATTGTGCACAGCGTCATGGTGTCGGTGCCGACCATCATTTTCCTCACACTCATCCTGCAGTATTACAACAACCCGTTCAAATGTAAGTGAAAGAATTACACCTGATCACCCTGAAAAATCTCATTATCTCCAGAGTTACACATTTTAACAGCCAGAAACTGTAAAAGCAGAAAGATTTGTCAGGTTTCCTGCAGCTTCTTCAGCTGGTCATGTAAAATGTGTCATTTAATCCCAGAAAACGAATCAAATCTCACTTTAAATGTCACTTTTTTCTACATGTATCGTTGAAAAAGCATTTGCTCAAACCAGATTCTGTAAAAATGCAGAACATTCTGAGCTCCTGGGGGCAACCTTAAAGCCACGAGTGACCCAACAGTCGAAATTTCAGGAATTATGGGCTGGAGACAATATGCAAATACATATATTTTAAAAAACAAAACCCAAAAGAGAAAAAACATTTCCAGTGAGAGACAACATGACCACAAAAAGACACAAAAACAACCATGATGGGAAACAAAACAACCACAGAATGATGCAAAACAATCACAAATTCATGCAAAAACTACTAAATTACCAGAAAGAGACAAAAAGCAACAACAAAGAGATGAAATATGTCCCAAAGGCAAGACTGCAAAAGGCATGCGAAACATCCACATAGCGATGCAAAACAGTCGTAGAGAGACTCAAAAGGACAGGAATTCATGAAAAAAACTATTGAATTACTATAAAGAGACAAGAAATATATTTATCATTAAAAAAACAACAACAAAACAACTTAATATCTGTAGTATAAGAGCTTTTTTCAGTGTTGGTAACACCTGTGGGCGTTGCACATGTTGTTGCTTTCCAGGTTTTTCAGATTTTAGCAAAAAGAAAATCAACTTTTTAATATTTTCTGGCTCGACAACTGTGTCATGCAGCACAGAAGACATTCCCGAGTTCTCTCTCCGTCTACGTGGCTGCGCTGTTTCTGTAGAAGTTCAGGAATTTATATTGCAGTCACAAACGAGCCACAGTGAAAAAGAGCTCACAGGGTAAATCCAGGATCTACTTCGCAAATTTCAGTGGATGATTTATTTATTTCTTTCTTTTTAAGTCATGATAACATGTGTCATCAAGTGTTGAACAAATGAAGTAAATCAGGCCGATGTTACTTCAAGCGTCTTTTATTGTTTTCAGTGTTTTAAACAGGATTCTAGTCTAATATAACACCAAACCTTCAGGACAACCGTCACATTTTACTTACAGTTACATGACGTGATAAGAACGTCAGTTCTTTAAGTGGCTACGGTTCTGTTTGTTCTGGAAACAATGGTCTGGAAGGAATGAGGGGTTGTGTCAGTGCCTGGGCGTGGAGCCGGATGTCAGGCTGTGCAGTGCAGAGTGAGGTGGGGAGATCTCAGGTGAGATGTTTAACCTCCTGACTGAATATAACCACGAGGTAGAAAGACCTACGACACAGGAGACACTGCAAAGCTGCTACAGCTTGAGGCAGATTTATTCACATCAAAGTCTCAATCCACCTAAGAACTTATGGCTGGAGTTGAAAAGGGCTGTTTAGTCGTGATCTCTCATGACTCCACCATGAAGCATGG